TTAATCTCTGCTCAGAAAAACATGGGGCTTGTTGTGATAGATGGAGATTTCAAATCAAGGGAGGCAGTTATGTAATGAGAAAAGGATGAAGATTTCAGGTTTATTTTTATTGATCACATTATCACACCTATAATAATTATTGGTATCACCTGAATGTTTAAGTGGTATATTCCATTTAAGTATAGAGGTGTCTGAGCAAGGTCTTTTATTATTGAATGCTATAATATTTCATTTACTTGGTGGTTCAATGCTGAAGCTACAGCCACCAGAATCCGTGTCTGATATTTGTCAAGGATCGTGTCATTCTGTTTATGTTGGACCTGTGGACCCACTGACCACTGACCAGTACATGTGATGGACATGTACAGTTTTGGTCTGAACTGTCAGGTAGGGACTATGTGCTGAATGTTACTTATTTTATGTGATATAATGTTTCAAAAGTATCATATTTAGGATGACTTTAGGAATATCTATAAATAATTATTTTCATATGATCCTTCAAAGGATAGAGCATAAAGCCGTATCTATGTTCATGATGTAACGGGGTAGTGTAATGTCATGATGTAGCGGGGTTGTGTAATGTCATGATGTAACCTGGTAGTGTAATGTCATGATGTAACGGGGTAGTGTAATGTCATGATGTAATGGGTTAGTGTAATGTCATGATGTGACGGGGTAGTGTAATGTCATGATGTTACGGGGTAGTGTAATGTCATGATGTGACGGGGTAGTGTAATGTCATGATGTGACCGGGTAGTGTAATGTCATGATATAACCGGGTAGTGTAATGTCATGATGTGACCGGGTAGTGTAATGTCATGATGTTACGGGGTAGTGTAATGTCATGATGTGACGGGGTAGTGTAATGTCATGATGTGACCGGGTAGTGTAATGTCATGATATAACCGGGTAGTGTAATGTCATGATGTAACCGGGTAGTGTAATGTCATGATGTGACGGGGTAGTGTAATGTCATGATGTGACGGGGTAGTGTAATGTCATGATGTGACGGGGTAGTGTAATGTCATGATGTTACGGGGTAGTGTAATGTCATGATGTGACGGGGTAGTGTAATGTCATGATGTGACCGGGTAGTGTAATGTCATGATATAACCGGGTAGTGTAATGTCATGATGTGACCGGGTAGTGTAATGTCATGATGTGACGGGGTAGTGTAATGTCATGATGTGACGGGGTAGTGTAATGTCATGATGTGACGGGGTAGTGTAATGTCATGATGTGACGGGGTAGTGTAATGTCATGATGTTTAAAGTCACATGAAGATTCTTGTTTCTTCATAGGATAAAGTATAAAGTCATACCTGTGTTCATGATGTAATGGGCACTTATGTTTATTCATGGCATAATGAAGTGTAAATTCATGTATATTCATGATGTGATGGGGTAGTGTAATGCCATACATGTACATGTATTCATGACAGGATGAAGTACAATTCATACAGATATTTATGAAGTGATAGGTCATTATCTAAGCATTGAACTGCTTTCACTTGGCATTCATAGGCATCGTGAATGCCAACTGGACAAAGGCAAATTCATTGAAGCTCGCTAGCGCTTCATGTTTGATTTGCCTTTGTCCAGTTGGCATTTATATTGCCTATGAATGCCAACTGAAAATTGTTCAATATTTATACTGACCATTTTTACCTATCTGATTTTCTCATAAAATCATAAAAAATCATTTTCAACTTATCATTATCCAGTAATTAGTTTAAGTAATATATATGCCTGTTGAATGAACAGAACAGCCATCTGGCCTTGGAGGGTCAGTGGTATCCAACCTAACAATTACCACGTCATAATAACGATGATGTCAAGAATTGGGTCATGGCATTCATAGCCTGTAGGAATGCCATTTGAATATAGTAGGGTTATATAGTGACAATGCCATATGATGGTAAATGTTAAGTTGAATATGTGTGATATTATAAAGTATAAAGTCATAGTGTATGGATAATCATGACAGTTGTAACTGTATTGTATTGAAGACATGGTTATCTCCCCTTTATGAAAATAAACCTTGAGGCGTAACAATCTAGTGTATGGTCCACACACTTTCCTATAGCATGACATGATAATTAAAATGAACGTTATCAAAGAATCAAAGCACTATCTGATCATTTCCAGGTACAGAAATAAATCAAATCCTTGCACATTCTGTGATACCAGCATAAAAAACAGGAAATGGTACAGTACTTGTATTTTTCAATTTTGCCAATTCAATCTCACATCCTCGACATGTTATCTTGAATTTAATGAATTTCATTTGTTTGATGAGACAGGTAAAAAATTGTGTACCTGTAATACCTCAATGACAGGTAAAGTACAGAGTAATTACTGGATCAGGTGCACCAGAGTTGTACAGGTGTGCAAATGAAATCGGACCTAATCAGATTTTAATGGCCGTCTGATGTTGGTCGCTCGGCATTGATACAGTTCTTGATGTGAACATGAAAAATTTATGATGGAATTTTGTTTTCTGTTCAATTTGTTGGGTTCTTATTTTAGAATTTGTTTGATATGAATAATTTGATTGTTTCAAGTTTCGTCGGTAATTAATTAAGAAGCATTACTTGTCCATTGAGGAAAGTTATTTTGGTATAAATGAAAGGTGGACCCTCATGGGGGCCATAGGTGTTGGACCCAAAACGGAAATTATGAGACAAGACAAATTAAACCTGCTCTATAGTTTCACCTGGCCATTCACTATTGACCAAACTCTACAGTCATAGAGTAGAACCTTTATGGTTAATTCAAAATCCAAAATAGCCTCCCTGGCATGTGATTGGCTGAGATATTTTCGTTTACTTTTTCTAAATCTTCTTACAGCCTATGTGAACAAGAATTAGTAAAAAAAAATATTCCCGAGGTCCTAACGAAGTGTTTCATAATTATTTTGGTTAAAAAGATGAGATGGCAAACATTTTATCAAACTAGCAGAAACGTTTTCCGTTTCGTGCGCAGTGTGATCATCAAAGCACTAACTGTACTAGCTATCACTATTCAACAACAAAAGCAATAAGAATAACTGCCACAAACCGCTGACAGGCCCCTTGGGCCTCTTGTTTTCGCATTCTTGTCTCCCGTTTGCAATAGATAATTATCTGTATTTGCTGTAATTCTCATCTTTAAGCTTTACAAAACTGCTTATTCCTTATGCTGTTTCGTTCCAATTACTTTACACTTCCCCACTGTTGTTAATTTGTCTTTGTTCATTCCTGCATTTGTATTGAAGAGACTAGTTTTCTGTCAGCTCTTGTTAGCCAAGTCCTCGGCCGACTGCATTGTGATCGGGGTAGCAATTCCGTAATTGTTAGACAATAACCATTTCACACAAAGCTTGATTTTAATTCCTTCTATGACTCATGTCAATTAATTCACCAGTTTGATGGTAAAACAATGCAAGGCAACAGATCTCTTACAATGCCCTTGAAATGTTCATGGAGTAATTTTCTACAATTAATCGACGAATTCGTTAAATGAAAGTTGAATGCCTTTAGCTTCCTTTTCGTGTTACGTTTTTTTCCCCAGTCAAGTTCTAATTAGTATTCTACTTTGTAAGGAACCAAATGTTTGACAATGAATTTAGGTCACAAACTTTGCGACCTTGTGAACTTTTGACCTCCAATGGTTGACCTTTAATGCAATTCAGAGGAAATCTATGTTTGAGAGTTCATGTAACACACCCACAAACTGTCATTATGTAATCGAAACCAATTTAGCGAGCATGACTATAGCTTTGATAAATCATTTCTGAAAAGAAAACTTTTTGGTACTTTTATGAAAAGTAAAAATAAAATGAAATAAAAAAAATATCAACGTCATCATGCTGTTTGTGAAATAATCAATGGTATAAGACTGGGATTGAACCCTAATATTCAAAATTTTGTACTATTGCTTCTACTGACTCAGCTTCCTGGTTAATGGAAGTGTCTCGGCCCAGCTGTGCTAGTTATATCCAAAAATGAAATTAAGGGGAGGCTACTGTATGTGGCAGATTTTAATTGCTTCCAGCTAGAGGGAATTTCCCTTTAGCTCAGAGGTAGAGTGTCCAACTAGGAAGCATGGGACTATTGGTTTGATCTCCAGTGGAGGCACACTATTCTCTTTCCTGTTACAAATGGTATCTGTGGCTCTCCCTGTGGTGATAGGCAGTTAGAACCTGGGTTCTTCTTCTTCTTCTTCCTTTAAGGGGGGAGTAGTGTGGCAGATTTTAATTAGTAAATTAAGGGAAGTAAGTGTATATATGAAAATTACAGTTACACAGGGATCCTGAAGCAGTCACCTGGACCTATTTTGTACAAAGTTCCTTGTTGTTTCAATAAAACATAATTGTTTGGAGTACAATAAGTGACCATTAATGATAAGAATTTCCACCTGAGAGATTAAGAACCAGACTGATAACTTAGTCATCACTGAGAGCTTTACTCCTTATTTATAAACCTGAGCTTGGAGTAAACCTGATTTCATATATAGGCAGACATGACAGATTTTTTTTAAAATATAGGAAAGGTCATTATATTGTGAGACACAAGTGTTAAATATCTTCTGTCTCACACTAGTGTTGTGACACAGGGTTCCCTACTCATAACAGTTGTAGAAGTCATGTCAACAAGGCATTGAGGTAATTTCAATATTACTTATTAGAAAGGGCCAACAGTGCAAATGAAAATGAACTATTTCCAAACTCCTTGACCCCCTGGGCCCAAACTCCTTGACCCCCTGGGCCCAAACTCCTTGACCTCCGGGCCCAAACTCCTTGACCCCCTGGGCCCAAACTCCTTGACCCCCGGGCCCACTTTGGAGATGAGACATGGAATCTCCACCCTTCAGGAAATAATAGTCTTAACTCTACCAAACGCTTTGGTAGGGGTTGTGTTTGGAAAACTTTGTGTATTCTTCCTTGGTTTGAGATCCTGTTATCTTACAGAAAAGAGGAGGAAAGATTTCTCATTACTAAAACTCCATGTGACTCTTTCCTTACTCTGGGTATTTCTGTTTCACATACACTGGACTGAAAGAAAATTGTTTGGTTATTGTAGCCATCTGTGTGGTAATGGTTACTGTTGATGTGGTCTTGGTAACCATCTGTGTGGTAATGGTTACTGTTGGTGTGGTCATGGTAACCATATGTTTGGTAATGGCTACCATTGGTGTGGTCCTGGTAACCATATGTTTGGTAATGGCTACTGTTGGTGTGGGCATGGTAACCATCTGTGTGGTAATGGTTACTGTTGGGGTGGGCATGGTAACCATCTGTGTGGTAATGGTTTCTGTTGGTGTGGTCATGGTAACCATCTGTGTTGTAATGGTTACCGTTGGTGTGTTCATGGTAACCATCTGTTTGGTAATGGTTACTGTTGGTGTGGTCATGGTTACCATATGTGTGGTAATGGTTACTGTTGGTGTGGTCATGGTAACCATATGTTTGGGAATGGCTAGCATTGGTGTGGTCATGGTAACCACCTATTTGGTGATGATTACCATAGACCTATCAGTGTGGTCCTGGTAACTGTTAGTGTGTTGATGGTTACTGTATTTGTTGTCATGACAACCATGTTTTTCTGTTAATTATCATAGTTGGATCCTCAGAAAATGCATAGCCATTGAACAACAGTCGAAGTTTGCACCAGAATAAATATTCAATATGTGTTTGCTTTTATGGTCTCAAGGTCACAGAAACTTCAAATATCCAGATAGATTGGTATTAAGGATTGCTAAACGTCCAATTATGCAGAAGAACGTTGTTAAAACTTGATATTATACGACAGCGACTGTTTAATCCATCAGAACGTAAGGGCACCAGTAATTGGTATTTCAGTGTTCACCATAAAGGCATATAGAATGTGTTAACGGGTACCCAAACCAAAGACGGGAGAATTATCACGGTAATAATTCCAGGAATAACAGGTTCAACCAGGAAGGATCTTGACCTTTACTCCAGGGCTGATATTACCAGAATTTGGTGTTAGAGACATACCATATATTCTAAACATCTTTTTGTCTAAATCTGCTGAAGATACAAAAACAAAGGGGTATAAATCTATAAATCTGCCATTTTGTTTCCAACAAAAGATTTTTTTAGGTCACCGGAGACAAAGTCTCAAGTGACCTATTGCGATCGCCTTTTGTCCGTCGTCGTCCGTCGTCCGTCGTCCGTCGTTCGTCGTCCATCGTCTGTCGTCCGTCATCCGTTGTCCGTCGTGCGTCCGTAAACAATTTACATTTTCGACTTCTTCTCCAAAACCCCTAAACCGATTTCTATGAAATTTTGCAGAAACCTTCCATGGCCAAAGGTCAACTAAAATTGTGAATTATATGGTCCCCAGCCCCCAGGGGCCTGAGGGGCGGGGCCAAAAAGGGTAAAATTGACTAAAATTTCAAAAATCTTCTTCTTAAGATCCAGATATGGTAGAATCAAACACTCATCATAGATAGAAGGGTCTTAAAGTGCTTTACTAAAATTGTGAATTTCTTGACCCTGGGGTCTCACGTTTCCCCCTGGGGAGGGGGTAAACTTTAATAAAGTTTATATAGGGAAATCACATTTTGGACCAACATTTGTTTAATTGCCATCGGAAGAAATTCAATTTAGTTTAGTATTATCAGTATTGGGTAGCAGTTTGATAGTATGCACATATCAGCCCTGACTGACCCCCCGGGGCTGATGGGTGGGGCCAAAAAGGGTCGAATTGACTGAAATTTCAAAAATCTTCTTCTCAAGACCCAGATATGGTAGAATCAAATACTCTTCATAGATGGAAGGGACTTAAGGTGCTTTACCAAAATTGTGAATTTCATGACCCTGGGGTGTCACGTTTCCCCCTGGGGAGGGGGTAAACTTTACTATAGTTTATAAAGGGAAATCACATTTTGGACCAAAATTTGTTTAATTGCCATTGGAAGTAATTCAATTTGGGTTAGCATTATCAGTATTGGGTAGCAGGTTGATGGTATGCACATATGAGCCCTGACTGGGCAAAATTTGTTATGGTTTATAATGGCAAATGGTACTTTGAATATTACATGTTGATAACTTGATTGGAATTATAACCCTAAGTTGACAGTTTGATACTTTGTAGATTTTGAGCCATCCCTACCCCCAAGGGCTGTAGGGTGGGGCCCAATGGAGTCTGTGTGCTAAAATAAAATTTCTTCATTTTCCTTGTTTGGAATCAGAGGTGCTAGTTTCAAATACTTTTCAGTCTTAAATCTGCATGCTAGATATTGAATAAGGTGGTTTTATTGTTTTTTGTCACTTTGAATAATATTTCTGTTCATGTTAAAAACAAAAATCAACTCTCTGTATAAATAAATCAGGTGACCGTTAAGGCCCATGGGCCTCTTGTTATTCTGCAAATTTTGCTTCCAAACAAAAAGCTAGCACCTTGAAAATCTTATTGTTCTGTTTTATATAAAAGTTGTTTAAACAACGGTCTACTGATGGAAAAGTGGTTATAGCTCAAAGGCCACTGACAGTTATTTGATACTGTTGATATATCTTTCAGCAAGGCTCCTCACCCTGATTGCTCTAGTCTATCAAGCTGTAAAAATGGGCATGCAGGGAAGTTACTCTATGATAGACTGGAATAAGGACATTGACTCTCTGTCAGTTTTTACCACCAAATACGGATTATATTTGGGCTCTAAGTGGACCATTATTAATCCAGGGCTCAGGCTGGACTTATTACTGTGTCATATAAAATACAAGACGGTGACATCAGAATGGTTAGGTTTGATTTTGTTGTTGTTTAGAAGATTTTAAAGATTATTCTGGGAAGAACCTGATGTGATTTGTTTCAGCTGCTATCTGATTATAAACAGAATAATGCTGGGTAATTTGTACAGTTTGGATGAGGGTGTCGTTTTGTTTGTTTTACCAAACTGAATTAAGTCACATTGTCTTCCTGTAATCATTTAGCCAAACTCCAAAAAATTTGATAACAACATTATAAATTACATGTTGTTGATAATTTTTTCAGCAAGATTGATTTTCACACAGTGAATTATCTTTGGATTAAACCAAAGATGTCCATATTTTTTATATTAATGCTGTGATGCACTTAGTTTGGGATGAATGACCTGTAAAAACTTAACAGATGTCATTGGTGATATTATGAAAAAAAAATTGTCCATCTGTGTGTGTCTCTCTCTCCCTATGTCTCCATTCATCCATCTCCCCTTCTCTCAATCTCTGTTGTTGATGTCTATATCTCTCTTTCCCCTTTCTCTTCTCTCTTTCTCATCATGTCTCCATCTGTCCATTTTCCTCTCTCAATCTCTGTTGATGATGTCTCTATATCTATCTTTCCCCTTTCTACTCTCTCTCTCTCTTTCCATATGTCTCCATCTGTCCATTTTGTCTCTCAATCTGTTGTTTATGTCTCTATATTTCTCTTTCCCCTTCTACTCTCTCTCCCTTTCCTTATATCTCCATCTGCCTATTTTCCTCTCTCAATCTCTGTTGCTGATGTCTCTATATCTCTCTTTCCCCTTTCTATTCTCTTTCCCTTTCCATATGTCTCCATCTGTCCATTTTTTCTCTCAATCTCTGTTGCTGATGTCTCTATATCTCTCTTTCCCCTTCTACTCTCTCTCCCTTTCCTTATGCCTCCATCTGTCCATTTTCCTCTCTCAATCTCTGTTGCTGATGTCTCTATATCTATCTTTCCCCTTTCTACTCTCTCTCTCTCTCTCCTTACGNATTAATCCAGGGCTCAGGCTGGACTTATTACTGTGTCATATAAAATACAAGACGGTGACATCAGAATGGTTAGGTTTGATTTTGTTGTTGTTTAGAAGATTTTAAAGATTATTCTGGGAAGAACCTGATGTGATTTGTTTCAGCTGCTATCTGATTATAAACAGAATAATGCAGGGTAATTTGTACAGTTTGGATGAGGGTGTCGTTTTGTTTGTTTTACCAAACTGAATTAAGTCACATTGTCTTCCTGTAATCATTTAGCCAAACTCCAAAAAATTTGATAACAACATTATAAATTACATGTTGTTGATAATTTTTTCAGCAAGATTGATTTTTACACAGTGAATTATCTTTGGATTAAACCAAAGATGTCCATACTTTTTTTTATATTAATGCTGTGATGCACTTAGTTTGGGATGAATGACCTGTAAAAACTTAACAGATGTCATTGGTGCTATTATGAAAAAAAAAAATGTCCCTCTGTGTGTGTGTCTCTCTCTCCCTATGTCTCCATTCATCCATCTCCCCTTCTCTCAATTTCTGTTGTTGATATCTATATCTCTCTTTCCCCTTTCTACTCTCTCTTTCTCCTTATGTCTCTATCTGTCCATTTTCCTCTCTCAATCTCTGTTGCTGATGTCTCTATATCTATCTTTTCCCTTTCTACTCTCTCTCCCTTTCCATATGTCTCCATCTGTCCATTTTGTCTCTCAATCTCTGTTGCTGACATTGTCTCTATATCTCTCTTCCCCTTCTACTCTCTCTCCCTTTCCTTATGTCTCCATCTGTCCATTTTCCTCTCTCAATCTCTGTTGCTGATGTCTCTATATCTATCTTTCCCCTTTCTACTCTCTCTCTCTCTCCTTACATCTCCATCTGTCCATTTTGTCTCTCAATCTCTGTTGCTGTTGTTCCTATACCTCTCTTTCCCCTTTTTACCCTCTCTCTCTCTCTCTCTATGTGCCCCCCTGTCTCACTCTTTCTCTCCTTATTGCTGCCCTTCCCTTTTACAATCTCTTAATCAATTTAAAGACAATCATCTCCATGAACTTTAAAAAAACCGATCAGAAAACAAATTTATTGGTAATTTGAGTCACTTCTACATAAAACCTGCATTAATTCCTCATCTGTATTTCATTCAAACAGCTTTGAAGAAGACATTCTGACCTTCCCTGGAGAAAGATTTACCTGTGTCAAACGAGGAGGACAAACCATCAGTAAAGTTATTGGAGAACAGAGAAGTGTTTCAGCATTGAGGTAATTACTCTTCCTTCAGATGTAGACTTGCATCATTTACATTGAACAAAGGAACAACATCTATTTCTTAGTCTTAGCCGTTCATTTCATTGATCATGTGAACAAGTAGAAGATCAGTCGTAATTACCCAGCATTCACTAGTGCTGAGGAGATGAATTGCTGCGTTTACTAATTTACATAAAATTCTCCATTACTGGTTCACACTTAAAAAAAAGTTGATTTTGTTCCTTGTTTTTTGTTTATATTTATGTTATATTCAACTTTAGGACTTTGTGTGGACACTGCTGATTAATACAAAGTACGAGACAGTACTGTTTTATATGGTTCTTTAGTTTGGAGTCTGTAGATCTAGAGGCCGCCTGCACCTTTGGAAATTCTTGTAAAGTGCAAAACATTTTGAAACTTTCCATGCAAGCATTTGCACTTGATGACGTTCACTGCAAGTATACATACATGCATGCGGGTAATCAATGATATTTTAGGAAGAATATATATT